GAGACCTTCATGCCTGAGAAGGTGTCCTACCAACCTATCTCGCCTATTTTTATTGACTTCCATAAAGTCCTCTGTTCTTCTATTCTTTCTAATACCTCTTCATTTCTAACTTTCTGTATCCACGGTATCCTCATCATTAGCCTGTAACACCACATTTCGAACACATTTAACCTTTTCATTTCCGCAGCACCCACCGTCCATATTTCGCACCCGTACAGCGCTGCGCTCCAAACATACACCTTTAATAATCTTTTTCCAATTTCTAAATTAATTGTTCGCGGTCATAGAAGTGAAGGCGACTCGACCCTGCGCTATCCTCTGCTATATATCCCTACTACTCCTTCCGTCCTGACTTATATAATTGTCTAGATACCTAAAATTTTCTAATTTTTCGTCTCCTATGTTTATATTCGTTCTTTCCCTACTTTTTTCCCTTGCATACCAGTATTTTTGTTTTACTTTTTTTTATTTTCACACAATACTGCTTTGTCAACACCTCCTCCATTTTATTTAAAGCTACATTTAACTCCTCCTTGCTAGATGCTAAAAGAACGTGTGCAAACAAATCCTTATTTGTTAATGACTTTTTTTTTTAATTATTTTTATTAATTTTTTTGAATCGTTCAGACATGTAAATATTGGAAAAGGCAGTTTAATTAAAAAGCAGAGTAAATGCAAATGGAATGTCGTATATAGTGCAGTTAAATTTGCCTGAAATAAATTGTTTCATCGCAGTTTGTCAAAGCAACGTGAGAGCGTTATCGAGGCACGAAATTAAAAAGCTCTCTCAGTTCATAAATTTACATTTTACAGCCAATTTCAGTCAATTGTGACAAATATCTTCCGCTTTGTTTGACTAGTTAATATACGTTATATCTACCTGGTTAATTCTATTTAAATATTTGAAGAACTCGAAATTCAAAAAAGCCTATTCTATATTTTTTAAACCATTTGGTCACATCTGATACTAAAACGAAAAAAAGTATTTAGGGATGTTTTATTCTATCATCAGGCACTAATGCTGGGCTGAGAAAAAAGTTAACCTTTTAGTAACTGAGCGACAAAATATTGACTACATTTTCTTCACCTATTTATATAAATAGTATGCAGTATAGATGGTGTTTCTGACATAAGTAAGCTTCCAGAAGGCGATAAGGCACTAAAAAACAGGAAAATTAAGTAAATGTTGATGATAAATGATCCGAAAGTCCACCGTTTAGAAAAAAAAATTTTGAAAGTATATAGATAGTATAAATAGTATAAGTAAAGTATATTTATGTTCTTAATACAATGTGGAAGTGGACTTTAAATAGTACTGCATGCTATCAGCGATGAACAAAGTAGTTATTGTCTATTGATTGTTATCACAATGGGCTTCTAAAAATTATTATGTGCAGTAACTTAGTAGTAAGTTGTTAACATTTACTCTACTAGTCGTTCCACAACCGTCACTGTTTACATTTTTTATCGATGCAGTTGCTTAAATGCTATCGAAGTTTCTCTATCGTTCGCCATTTCACGTCCAGGACCGGCATCCAATGGTTTTCTTACAATTTTTTTTGTCCCTTAACCACACTATTTCTTATTTTAGAAACACTCTGTATAATAAGCACTTTGTATCAATTTGGTATTTATATTTAGTTGCATGGTAACTTGAAGTAATCTGCAGGGGGGAGAAATTAAGTTAATTTCGCAATAGTGTTTAATAATTATTAAAATTTAGCCATTTCTAAAAGTGAAAACTTGCTTAAAGTGCTAATATAAATATTTTTTCTCTATTTCATTGCTAAAACCTACTAAGTCACCTGCTAAATCACTGCTTCAATTAGTATTAGTATTACTATTGTTTTCCACTAGTTTTAGCTGACTTTTCACTATATGAAATACGTATTATAGTAAGTTTCTATTTAAGTACTAACACTATTAGAAGGTTCAAATTCAAAGACAGGAATGTTTGGATTAGTGGAGATTGGAATTACCCATATTTCTTTTATTGGTCGAACGAAACAGTATGTGTACATATGAATCAATAAAACGCTTATATCTACACACTGATAGCATGTTACATTTGTGTAATACTTGAGTAAAAGCCAACCCTTATATTTTATGCTGATACTTATAAGTATTTGTTTAGTTCGCAAATAACAGCGAATGTCTCTTCAAATAAACGCCAAGACATTTTTTTCTTAGATTTAGCAGTCGGCGTTTCTCATTTCTTAATCAAGATATATGAAATAAAGGTAACATTTTTTTGCAGTATTATATCCGGGTTTTGCTTATTACAAATCTGACAGACTGAAAAATATACGATCTTTGCAGTAATTTTGTTTATTAATAATGATACTGACCTACATAGATACATTCTCAAGTACAAAAAAAATACAATATTTTAAATACCACAAATTTCTATCAAAGTCATTGTAGATAGAATGAAATTTTACTATATAAAACTGACAATAAAATTGAATGCTTTAGCTTGATTTTCATTAAGTACAATGAAAATAAAATGTTTTTCCCTAATTTCAAATACAAAAGCCTCCCAGGTAAAAATCCCATTTACTCCCTAGTGATAAAAGATTTTACTATTATCCATATAGTTGCCACCCGATATCTTTTGCTCATGTGCTACACACATTCCTAATAAGAGTAAATGGGACACGGAGAAAATGAAAAACGAAAATTTATCTAAATACTAAAGCGATATTTACAATTACAAATTTAATTGTAATAATTAAGAAACTTGAAATAATTTTAAATGAAACATATCAAAATTGAGATTACTACAAGTTACCTTATCTACTATTTCTACGGCAAATTCATTTACAATCGAAAATTGTAATTATTGATTTAGTTTTTTCCGTGCAGGGCCCCCTCTGGCTAAATCCTTAGTTGCGCATATGATCGAAATTAATTGTAAAAACTATTTTGTTTGGTTTCTAGGTTATATCAACCCTAGACAAACATTTTCAGTCATTCTCCAGTCTCTCAGAGTCTTTGAGCGTCTCTGAGAGCGTCTCTCACAGTCTTTCACAGTCTCTCAGTTATTGCCTAGGTGTTTTTATGGATCTCTCACAGTCTCTATATGAGAGACTCGAACGGTAAAATTGTTAATTCAGAGATTCGAGTCTCTCACAGAAAGACTGAATGAATAAAACTGAAAAATTGAGAGACTCAAGTCTCTCGTAGAAAATTTTAACCGTGTCTATCGAGACACCACTTATTGAGAGATTCGAGTGTCTCTCGTTCAAACTGGATACGAAATAAGAATCTCTTTATGAGCGACTCGATTCTCTCGTTCAGAGACGCTAAATAGTTTTTTTGACAGTCTCTCTCAGCGACACCAGAGAGACTCGATGAGAGATAGAGACTCGAGATACTCTGAGAGACTGAACATTTTTATCTCGAGAAGTTTTGATTGACTATAACTTATTAGTATGATTTCGTTACCTTGCAAACTTTTAATGTTTATAAAAACTCGAAACGCTCGTTTCAATGGTTTCAACTGAAACCTTTCGTTAAAAATCCGTTAACCAAGAATTAAAATTTCATTAGTTTTGTATTTAAACGACTTTTTCACCGAGACTTCGNATAAAATTATTAATTTAGAGATTCGATTCTCTCGTTCAGAAACTGGATACGAAATAAGGATCTCTCAATGAGCGATTCGAGTCTCTCGTTCAGAGACGCTAAACGGTTTTTTGACAGTCTCTCTCAGCGACACCAGAGAGACTCAATGAAAGACGGAGACTCGAGTCTCGCTTTGAGATACTCTGAGAGACTGAACATTTTTATCTCGGGAAGTTTTGATTGACTATAACTTATTAGTATGATTTCGTTACCTTGCAAACTTTTAATGTTTATAAAAACTCGAAACGCTCGTTTCAATGGTTTCAACTGAAACCTTTCGTTAAAAATCCGTTAACCAAGAATTAAAATTTCATTAGTTTTGTATTTAAACGACTTTTTCACCGAGACTTCGTAGTTTGAAATATTACGGTGGTATTTAATGGAAATAATACTACTACGAACGAAGACATGAAATATTAACTGTAGTAGTTTTGGTTCACAATGTCAAACAAACGTATTTGTAGATGACGAGACTGAAATATTTATTAAGATAATTAGGAATGAGTCTCTTCTTCCTGCATTTTTTACCCCTCTTTCTGTTTCGTATTTTAAACAGTGGTTAGTTTTACTCACACATGCAACCATAAGGAAAATTTAATGTTTATTCAGCTGGGTAGTTTTAAATTAAACACCAAGGGTGTTAATTTTCCGACAATATTGATTAAATCGCCCGAAAACAGCAAACAAAGAGAACAGGGATTAGTGTAGCGTATCTTGAAAAACAACGCTCTCGTTATAAGAAACAAAAACAAAACCATTCTATACCTGTTAAAACATTTCCAAAGAAAACGATACTTCGTACAATAATAGAGGTAATGTATCTCTTCCAAACAAAAAACCTAATGGTGGCGTGATCACATTCTAATTCGTCAGATATTAGTTGACAATATATACGAACACGACGACGGTGACGTTTCGACGACGGCAGAAAGGGCGCATCTAGTTGGCGCCTCTATTCCGTAGCATCGACTCTATACAGCAAAAGCTCGCACATTTTCATTGGGAAACGCGTCCTCTCATTGGTTTGTTCTCGCGCGTTTTGTGAAAATTCCGTCAAAGCGAAGTCAGGAAAACGCAGTCAGTTCAACAACGGCGCCGATATCGGACGGACGCGTAGCGTCGAGACGCATACATAACAACATCGCAACAGGCTTTTTGCGTTCAAATAAACAAACGTATAATATGTATGTCCCACACGCTTGCTACGATCTCTGACATTATTTTACCTTATGCGCTACAACAATAATAAGACTGCACAATTTGTTCCTTAACATTAATCTATATATATATATATATGAATGTATTTACTTAATTAATTAATTAGCCCGTAACTTTGTGGTGATCGGTGTGCAACTACTTTAACTAATTAATGTTCCTGTAATATCGTCTATTCAAAAATTGATGTCAGTACAGTAGAGAAAAGTAAATGTAATTGTTAGATTTCTATAATATTTTTCTATGTGTACTTGTAAGTAAGTGTTTTGCACAATTTTGTGTAAATGAAAATTAGTCGTCTTACCATATACCTACATATATCCATGTGAATCGTGCGTGCTGTGCAAATTAAACGAAATTAATAAAGTTTAGTATGGAGGAGGAAAGTAGTAAACAGGAGGACACGTCAACTTCACAAAACGCCCAAAATTCACCCAACACTGACTCAACCACAACAGTAAAAAATGCTCAACCGAAAGTGAAAATTAATGCTCCCAAAAACCCACCACCAAAGCCCATTGCCAGAGTGAAAATTGCTGCTCCATACATTGAGGTAATACCTAATCAAGTTTTTATTTGATTAACGTTTACCCCCTTTTGCTTTCATAATTCGATTTTGTCTAATGAAATAATCAAATAATTACGTAGAAATTCTTCAGGTAACGGAATCCTAAAATGAAAATAAAAAAAGGCATTAAAAATTGGCTCATTATTACTTTCATTGAGATTCAGTAGTTGATCATGATTCATTTTACGAAAAGAGAACCCTTAGTGTATATATATATTGTAACTTTAGAGAAAAAACAGTTTATTTTTATAAAAATAATTAGAAAACCTGTTAACAACTATTTGGATTTCGTAATCTCTTTCAAAGTGTACCAACAAGAATTAATGGAAACAATTGTTAGAGTTTCTCTAATTATTTTTCTTCTTTGGAACTATTATGTTTTATCACAATCACTCAATCGCAATTTCCATCAATTTTATTAAAAGTTTTAGAATTGTTATTTGGCCTCTTTTCATTCTGACAAAAACATTGGATAAATAATTTAAATTCTTGTTTTTATTAAATTGTCAAAGACCTTGTTGTTTGTTTTCGCGTCTCATATTGATACCACGTCAGATTTCTTTTTATTTCTACCTTTCCGGAATTTAATCACAAAAATAAATAACAGCGACGCTATTTTTATTTTTATTCCTAACAGTAGTAAGCTTAACTCATTTTGTAATTCATCACGTCTAATAATATTCGTTAATAATATTTCCATCCTTAATGTTTCTTCTCAAATATAATTCCTTTGCAACATACAATCCATTATAATTTAAAAACGGAAACCGTAGACCGATTTGTGTATGGGGTAGATTACATAAAAATCAGGTTTTAAAAGGTTATTTCTTCTAAAGCACTGAGAACAAACTAATGAGCCAAACACTGATAGAAAGTTTTTGTGGTCCAAGTAATTATAAAACCAATCCTTAAATACGGAAGCATATTCATCATCACCATCATAAGATCGTCAGTCCTAAGACTGGTTGGACACACACTTTCACTCCTTCCTATCGTGAGCTAATCTTCGCATTTCTCTAAAACTAGAACATCCCACATCCTTAACTATTTATGCACAGTAATCTAATCTAGGTCTACCTCTACTCCTCTTAACTCATGTTTCTGTCTCTAATATGTCTCTCACTAGACCTTCATGCCTGAGAAGGTGTCCTACCAACCTATCTCGCCTATTTTTTATTGACTTCCATAGAATCCTCTATTCTCCTATTCTTTCTAATACCTCTTCATTTCTAGCCTTCTCTATCCACGGTATCCTCATCATTTGCCGGTAACACCACATATGAACGCTTCTAACCTAACCTTTTCTTGTCCAAACTTCGCCCAATCATCACATGCCAAGGCTAGGTACATTGACGTTTCATCAAGTTTGGTCCAATACTGAGGCAACTAAGCACTGGCTTGTCAATACTGGTCCAAAGTTTGAACAATCGTGAATGTTCAGCCAAGCTTCAAGTGTCAAGACCAAACTGTATCCAATAATCGATAACGAAGTATTGGCCAATATGGAAAGCGATACAGTTGTCCAGTCTTCTATTAATTTTGTTTATCAAGTCTTGACACAATATTGCCTGTCCAATTTTAGGTTAATATTATTCACCAATTCTTATCCTAATATTGGCTACCCATTCTTGCGGTAATATTGTTCATCAAAAACAGGAGAACAATATTGGCTGTAAATCGCGAACCAGAACTGAATTTCAACCATGCCCGAGATAAAAATGTTCAGCCTCTCAGAGTCTCTGAAAGCGAGACTCGAGTCTCCGTCTCTCATTGAGTCTCTCTGGTGTCGCTGAGAGAGACTGTCAAAAAAACTGTTTAGCGTCTCTGAACGAGAGACTCGAATCGCTCATAGAGACCCTCATTTCGTATCCAGTCTCTGTACAAGAGACTCGAATCTCTGTACGAGAGACTCGAATCTCTCAATAAGTGGTGTCTAGATAGACAAGGTTAAAATTTTCAAAAGTTCAGCATATTTAAGAAATCCCAGTCTTTCTACGAGAGACTCGAGTCTCTCAATTTTTCAGTTTTATTCATTCAGTCTCTCTGTGAGAGACTCGAATTTCTGAATTAAAAATTTTTCGTTCGAGTCTCTCATACAGAGACTGTGAGAGATCCATAAAAACACCTAGGCAATAACTGAGAGACTGTGAAAGACTGTGAGTGACGCTCTCAGAGACGCTAAAAGACTCTGAGAGACTGGAGAGAGACTGAAAATTTTTGTCTATGGTATGTTGTCCAGTAAAATCAAAAAATTTCAAATACCAAAGATTTTTTGTTCCAAGAAAGGAATATATTGAACTTGCTTTAAATAGTTTTATTCATAAATACACTGGAGATAATAATTTTTCATTTAGTCTTAAGCATTTAATCTTGCGTATTCGGTCTTCAATTTTGGTCTTGTTGGTTCGGTCTTGGTTTTAGACTTGGTCTTGTATGTTCGGTCTTGGTCTTAATCTGCGAGACCAATACGAAATTGGCTCATCATTAGTTCAAACCCAGTTAATATCTACCCTTTGCCAGAAAGTATCTTTCTCCAGAAATAACATGCTTATGTAAGTGTAATATAAGTATACCTACATGCATAACTTTTACAGTGTCATGCTAATGTGGCGTTTAAAACGCTTACGTGGTCGCTTTTCGAAGTGGAATGTCGTTTCTTACGTAAGCTTTTTTGCGTAGCTACGTCTCCGCCAGCGTATGTTTTCATTAAGGAAGAAAGCCACTTGCTTTTGCTTTTGGTCGCTTCTTTAATTTAATAAAAAAGTTTAATTTCCTTAAGGACGTCTTTGTACGTCCGCATGCACGACGGTAGCAGGCTTCCGTTCTATATTTTTCGTCAACGAATGAAGTTGGAATTTATCTTGTATACCATGCTACATACATATACGTATGTCATGTGACTTCAACTTTTGGACAAATAACAGTCGTAGTCCTTTTGTAGTAAACAAGATAAATTGAATTATTTCTTTTTCAATTATGTAACGTTTAGGAGAAACTTTGAAGGTTGATCCTAAGCAAAAAGAAGAAGGGAGAGCCTAAGTTATAAATATCTCACAAATATTGCTCGTAATTACGTTTCCAGTTGTAATTAAATTGTTTTTAATGTTGAAAATATACTTTTGTTGCTTTTTAATATAAATTAAATTTTTTAAAATAAGTTCTATTATTTAATTGGTGGTGGCAGTTTCTAAGTTTACAAGGTGTACTAAACAAAATCATTAATTGTAAGCAATTACTTAATTTTTATTGATAAAAAGAACAACCCCCTAACAATATAGAAACAAATGAATTCTATAATTCAAAAGGCGTCATCTATGCCTAAAACGCCGAAGAAAGATAAAAGTATGTTCTTCGAATTCTGCAAATCCATGAGTAATGAGGATGAAGATACATTGACGAACACACTTATAGGTATATTTTGGAGACCTAAAAAAAAATATGTAACGCCAATATTTTATGTTCTTAACGGCTGGAAAGTGTGCGGGTCAATATAATAACTTATTATTATTGTAAAGCTTCTGAAAGCTTCTAAAAAGCTGTTGTGACATATACATATATGAACAAGTGCTTGAGTGAGAAATTATAAGGGTTCTGTTTTCAGTTCAAGAGAGGATTCTAATAATAGAGACTTACCTTGTCAATGTAATTAATATCATATTTCTATAAAAAAAGACCTTGTTTATTACTTTATTATGCTCAAATAAATAAACCTGATAATTTACGTTTAAATGAACAATTTTCAGTAGTTGAGAAATGCTACGTTTCAGTCGGATATCAAGTTATTGAACTGAGCATAGCGTCATCCTTATGAACCTTGTCGAAAATTGTTGGGTCCCACTGTAGCAGCTTGCTATGGATGGCGCTTACTGCGCTGTTTTGAATCTAGACTCTTAATTTCTAGATCACGCCGTTCGGTGAATGTTTTGTTCAAGTAAATGTACCTAGGTTACAATTTTTATTCATTGTACATCATTCCGTGAGTAACTCCTCCTGCAAGTGGCATAATTTTTATACAAAATTTGCTCATCCGAATTTTCTTTAGTTCTGAATAACATCACCGTTCATAATTTGATTGCTATATGTTACATGAAAATATCCTGCATTTTGTCCTGCAACCTAACGAGTTATTACCTTACAAAACAAAACACCTTTACTGACATATCTGCCTTTTTTAAAGGCTGAGGTTTTTCCTAATTAGGCTACCAGAGTTTTATAGTTCGAGAAAAGACACTCTTACTTTTTCTGGAACAGTCCTCGTATCTATCTGTGATTACAGAAGAGGAAGCCAGTCGTTTAATAAATTTTGTTTGCTCTTGTGGAACTAATCTCTTTTGAGCGAATTGTTATTTTTGAGATGTATTAAAAACGTTGCGCAATTAATCATTTCTTCAAAAATATGTATTGTAAATGATATTTCCCTGTTAATAAATAATTAAACGGAATCATTTGAAAACGTTGTTAACACTTTGTAAGTCGGTGATTTTTCAATACTACTCCTGGTATGANATTTTTTAAAATAAGTTCTATTATTTAATTGGTGGTGGCAGTTTCTAAGTTTACAAGGTGTACTAAACAAAATCATTAATTGTAAGCAATTACTTAATTTTTATTGATAAAAAGAACAACCCCCTAACAATATAGAAACAAATGAATTCTATAATTCAAAAGGCGTCATCTATGCCTAAAACGCCGAAGAAAGATAAAAGTATGTTCTTCGAATTCTGCAAATCCATGAGTAATGAGGATGAAGATACATTGACGAACACACTTATAGGTATATTTTGGAGACCTAAAAAAAATATGTAACGCCAATATTTTATGTTCTTAACGGCTGGAAAGTGTGCGGGTCAATATAATAACTTATTATTATTGTAAAGCTTCTGAAAGCTTCTAAAAAGCTGTTGTGACATACACATATATGAACAAGTGCTTGAGTGAGAAATTATAAGGGTTCTGTTTTCCGTTCAAGAGATTATTCTAATAAT